ACAAGTTATTCTAACTGGTCTTCAAGGGGGGGGGCATTTGGCCAATAAAAAGCAGTTTGGAGGAACAAACTCATTATAATTGTAAGGATCACTTCATATATTCTATATATAATTAAGCAATTCTTAGTGGGGTGGGGTTGGGGTTGGGGTTGGGGTTGGGGGGGGGGGGGGGGACCATCATTTGCCCCATAGAAGGAAGAGACAGGAATTTGTGACACTGAACCTAAATATAAGATGCAGCAGCCTTGATTTAAGATGAATACTTCAAACAGAGTCAACAGACTTTTGCTAGGTTTTTGCTGCTAAAAGATATTGTAAACTTCTTTACCTTTTTTTAAAACTACTTGGACAAAAATGAAAATGCTTACTGTTGTACAACTCTGTTATTACCATGCCAGCATAAGAACAAGAATCTGCAACCACTTGGATTCCACAAAGATATCTTGCATCAAAATGACTCCCTGATCAAGTTGGATTTTTTTTTTTTTTAACATAATCATGGGGAAAACTATTATGAATCAGACAATAGTGATCATATCATGACGCAATGTTAGTAATTATTTTGTTATTACTTATGCTGCAAATTTTTTTATGGATCCCAACCTAAAAGAATATACAAATCTATATATATATGACAGAAGAAGTCAAAGGTAAACAGTAGTGTATACTTGTCTTAAAGGCATCAAATCCAGAGTAGACTTAACCAAAATTTCTTCAAAACTTTCTGTTTCAGTGATTCCTCTAGCATTAATGTAAGAACATTCCTTTACCCCGTGCTTTTCGTGATTGATCACATTTAAACCGGTTATTGTGCATGAAATCTCCTTGTTTCTGTGTCTACAAGACTTGGTAGGAGTTGGATAGTAGCTATCATTATTAGGTAAGAGAATTGAATTTAGCAGCCCTTCTGAAGTTGACGATGTAGCGTATTGCTGGTCTCTATCATACCTATTGTTAATAATGCAAGATAATGATTTGATTAAACTAATTGGTTTAAGCAAAGACTTGATCAAGCAACATTTATAGAAGCCACTCTTTGATGAAGGCATTTTGTTCAACTCATTTCATTTCATCCACACGATTAACTTGTAAAATTAAACTCTCTCTCAATTTAGTGGCTACAAAAGATTTTGATTCCACAAATCTCCACCTACCAATACAAGAAAGGGTTCATAATTATGTGCCCCAATTAGCTTATGTACACTTCAGTGCAAGCTTATTTGCTGTGAAAACTTCATCATGCTTATAAAATTTTTAGTGCTTGGCTTCTCTATTGACAGAAGCAAAACCCGATTTACATCTTCATTATCTTTTTAATTATATGGGTAACATGCCAAACCCTAGTGTATAATATTGTCTCTTTTGAACTGGCCCCACGCGGTTTTAATAAGACACATTGTTCTCAAAGTTCACACATAAACTGGGAATTTGCTTCATCAAGAGGAAGTAAGAACAGACAATAACAGTGCTTAAGGAAGTCACCATCTTGGCAGCATTTGAATAAATTCTTCTGCAGATTAATTTAGCAAGAAGAAAAGGATTTGCATCAGCATTAATTGATGTTCTTATAGGGAGGTAAAATGAAACCCAAATGTTCAAGTAATTATGCTTAAAGCCACCAAATCCCATAGTAACATGTAGTGATATGCTTACCTCCATATAACAACATTAACATCTTCAAGTTAGGGGTATTAATCAAGTCCAGTTTTACAAACTTGAGCCCGAGTCTAATGAAACGAACTTAAAAAATTATTTTTAGCTCAATTTTTTTAGAACTCGAGCCGAGTCCAAGCCCTAGTCAAACCCGAGACTAGCCTAGTCCAAGTAACTCGATTATTTTACATATAAACGAGACGCGTCTTTAACACTCGTATTTCTAAACGAGCCTAAAATATTATTCTAGCTAAGCTAATTTAAAATATGAGTCGAGCTCAAGTCTAGTCTTATCCTAACCGAGCCCTAATAACTCGTATCGATTAACACCCCTACTTCAAATATACTGAATTACATACATTGCATCATCAAAGTTAGGTAATTATAAACACTATAAGAATTTGAGTCTTTTGAGATAAGTTTTTTTACAATAACAATGTTCACCGTTAGAAAAAGTTTATTTGTTGCTGTAAATATTATTTTGAGTAGGGGTGCAACTTGGACAAGCCAACTCGAATTTAACTCGAGCCCAACCAAAAAAATATAGGGCTTAGTTTAAAATTTTTAATACTTTAGTTAGGGTTGGGCAAAAAAACTCCAAATCAAATTGAATTTGGGCAAGCCCCGAGTTGTCGGGTTCAACCCAAATATTAAAATCGGGTTGAACCCGAATATACATAAATATATTTAACTAAGGTTAGTATTTATCTTCACTTGTTAGAGTTCAGACTTTCACTTCACTTCAAGTATTTCTACGCCTTCATCACTCTCAAATCCCTCTCTCACTCATCACTCCTCTCTCTCTCAGTCTCCCTCTCTCAATCGTCACTCGTTTGAGTCGTCTCAGACTCTCAGTTTTTCTCTCTCACTCGTCACTTCTCCTTTTCTTACTCACTCTCTTTTCATTTGCGTCTCGCCTTTCATCTCAGATCACTTGAAAAAATTAAATCTACATTTCAAAAAATCAATCCGAATTAAATAACTCAAGCCTAACCCGATTTTTAATCAGAAATCAACCCTGAATTAAGTAACATGAATTCAACCCAAGTCCACCCGAATTAAACTTGGACAGTATTCAGGTTGAGTACCTCTGATTGAGGTATGGTTAAGGTTAAAATTAGAGTTGAAGATTATATATGTAAGATTGGACTACTGCCCAACCCGCCCTAGTTTCACCTCTAATTTTGAGACTCCACTTATTATGGCGAGGCGAGCATGCTGTCACAACACATTGCATAAGTGGAGTCTCAAAAAAATTTTGTGCCAACTATAATCCATCTTAAATAGTATTTGCGGTAACAAATAATTTTTTTATGACAGCACTACTGCCACCAAAAAAAAAAACTCCAAAATACGCCTTTTTTTTTTTTTGGAAAACTACCACCACCAAAAACCTAATTCAAAAGACTCTAATTTTTGTAGTGAAATTTATCTTTGCCTTGGTGCCCTAGTTGTATTTAGAGCACCAAGTTCCCACCTATGTCGTATTCTAGGAGAAACAAGTGTTATCTAACCCTCTATTATTTGGTGTGATATTATTATAATATAAGGTCTCGTTTGATTGTCATATTAAAAATGAATGAATTGGACAAAATAATATAGTCTAATATAATATATATAGATAAAAGTCAAGATTAAATATGATATTAGAATAATACGTAATTTTATTTAGCGTTTAGTAATACACAATATAAGCATTGAATAATAGTTATTTAATTCAATCAGTTGTTTGATTATAGAATTATTTCATCGTATTAATGTTGAATTAATAAAAATATCTTCAATCAGTGTTTGTTACATTAATGACAATTTAATTTTATCACTTAAGGGGTTATAATAGTAAATGTGTACAATAATACGTTTGAGCTATAATACAGGTTTATCGTATAAAAAATATACAATAAGTGTATATTTAATATACGTTTTTGAAATTAATACGATATCAAATTTTTTTACTAAACAAAGTATTAGACTTGATTAAATAAAAAATAATACAATCTAATATTTAATCCCTTCACAATGCATCTACCAAACGAGTTCTAAGTAGATGCAATAAAGTACTCAGTGTCTAATAAAAGGGTTCCACTAGTAATGTTAATTAACTTAAAACTTGGTAAAAATAATTTAAAAAAAAATGTATCAAACTTTGAGCAAGGGTGTCTTGAAGGTGGAAACACCACACGAGTTCTTCAAATCCAATGAGGTTGAAAAGGACACAAAAAAATAAGAAGAGTTATAATTAAGTGGCCCTCTTCAATTGATCAATACCACCAAGTGAATTGGCATTTTGTTAATGATGATCCACTGCGGTCTCTGCCGTAGTAAACGGGCTAATCACACTTTATACTTCAAACCATATTTGGATTTGTAATTTGTACCCTTAATATTATAAATTGGTAGTAATATGGATCTCGCTCATACTGTCATTTAATTTTCTAACATAAATTGAACACATGAGTTACAAATGTTTCGAGCATAAGGATGAGGTGTGTTTAGCGTTGCAGATTTTCGTCTGTGATCAATTTGATATCGTTTTATGTATCGAAAATAAAGTTTTGTTAATCCAATAGAGACTAAATCTATCGTTTGCAACTCACATGAGGTGTCAACAGTCGATGAATTTATACATAAACTTATGACCGAAGTACTTGTAACTCAAGTATTTCAATTTATGACGAAAAACTGAACAATAGTCTGAACAAAGTCTGCATTACTACCAATTCATAACATTAAGGATATAAATTAAAATTTTTAATATTTAAGAGAACAAATTAAGAATTAAAACATCTTTCAACATAGGATGTGAATACATATACATATAAACGAAGGCATACATACCCTCAAGTGTAAGTGTAGTGATCGATCACAACCATCAACCTGATGATTTGAGATTCACCATCAAGGGATAGCATTCATCCACTTGTCAATAGGTCTTTGGTGACGATATGTTCAAGGTGGGACATGTCAAAATAGTGGGACCTATCAACCTTGCATGGATGACTAGTGTAGCTGGCCAGCCATACATGATACATGAATGGAACCCAAAGTAGGACCCATTATATAGCAATACAGCCCCTCCAGAGGTCTTGTGCAGCTTTTAGCTCAAAACCCAAATTGGACCCCCTTATGGGTACAGCACTCCCACATTAAATTCACTACCTCAGTGTACTCTCAGTTGATATCATCCATTTCAGAGCTCCTTGATATTTTCTGAATACCTCTTCTATGGCTTACTTTCTCTATTTTCTGTTTGTTTATCATGTATGTGTATGCATGTAAACCAATACTGATCTTGCTCTGCCATTGGCTGGCTTCACCTCTGCTTTTAGAGAGAGAGAGAGAGAGAGATGGGACACCATTCATGCTGCAACAAACAAAAGGTTAAGAGGGGGCTATGGTCACCTGAGGAAGATGAAAAACTTATCAACTACATCTCCACCAATGGCCTTGGTTGCTGGAGTGCTGTTCCAAGACTTGCAGGTAACATCACCTATGGTTTCTATCTTCCTCTAAGATCACTGATCAACCCATATCCACCTCCCCCCCCCCCTCTTTCTCTCTCTCACACACAAACACAAACTCACACTCTCTCTTTTGCTTGTTCACCAACTTGCTTGAGCCAGCTTTATTCTATATGTTGTCTTGTCCACTAGTTTTTCAGTCTCAGAACACAAACTTTTTGTGTGTGTACTGTGTGTAAACATATTTACGGATCAAGATTTAAACAAGTATATATATATGCATTTGTATCTATGTGTCTCTTGTGGGTTTATGACCTCATGGTGCAGGGCTGCAGAGATGTGGCAAGAGCTGCAGACTAAGATGGATAAATTACCTCAGGCCTGACTTAAAAAGAGGGAGCTTCTCTCCTCAAGAAGCAGCTCTTATTATTGAACTCCACAGAATTCTAGGCAATAGGTAAATTCATTTGCTGTTTGTGTAACTACTAAGTATACTAACTACACTCATTAATGCTATTTGTTGTTTGATAGTAATGAACATTTACATTTTCATACAAAGAGACACATTTTCTTTCACAGATGGGCTCAGATAGCTAAGCACTTGCCAGGAAGAACAGACAATGAAGTTAAGAACTTTTGGAATTCAAGCATTAAAAAGAAGCTAATCCCACATGGTCTTTCTGATCTAGCAACCTTTCCTAATCTTCCCAACCCTAGTGCCTCTTATGAAGGTTTGTACTCTCTCAATGCAAACCCTAATTTGATCTCTACTACTCAAGTTCAACAGGATCATCAGGTATATATACCCACTCCACCATCAATGGCACAAGTCTTCAATCAAGGCGACATGATCAAGATGGATCAGTATTTGAATTACAATGCCAATCTTTTTCCGGTACCGCCTTCTGTCGTCCCATCGCCATTAGACTTATCTTGTTATGATCCAACTTGGTCGTCATTGGGTTATCACTATCGGCCTCAACAATTTGATCATCAACATGTTTTTAAACAAGAGGAAGACATGTTCATCAACAATGAAGCTGTTGCAAATTATACTACAGTAGTAGACAAACTTGTTGATCCAAAGATGGCAACACCACTTTATGGTGATGATGATGATGATGATGCAGTACTACCAATGGGGCCTGTGATGCCAAAGCTCTGTGAGATCACCAAAGGGAATGAATGTAACAACATTCCGTCTTCGTCAGTTTCACAAGACCAAGTGATTGGCCCAATTGCTTCTCTCTCATGTTTTCCATCTGGGTCATACCCACATGATCATCACCACGTGGTTGCCAATCAAATGGAGTACTTTGATGCAATCATGTCCTTATTGCCATCATCATCATCATCATCAAGCTCTTCATCATTTTCCCCACTATCATGCAGCCAATTTGGTATGAACCCTACTTTTCCTTCGAGATGGGATCCATAGACATGGTACTGAATGCATTTATTTCTAAAAAATTTCATGTCAAAGGCAAGCAAGTGCGTGCAGCTTCTTTCTATGGCGAAAACCTAAATGTTGCTGGTTTAGGTTCTTTTGTAAGCAATGCCCTATGAAGTTCCATAAATATATGCAGCTATTTTCACATATTCGATCTTTAATTTTTTATTATTAGCAATACTTTTGGGATATAATGAGTTGTCATCAATAAAATAATAATAAATTTATTTAATACTACAATGGGATCTTTCATTGAATACAATTCACTACTAGTGACAATTCATTATATCCTGAAATTATATTCTAATAATATTAGTGTTTTATTATTGGTGTATCATTTTGTTTCCTGCTGAATATTATTGGCCTGTTACCTACTCCATCACCTGCATGCCCCCCCCCCCCCTCTCTCTCTCTCGTACACTTTTGGCTTCGCTTTGGAAAGTATAGGCTCAGAGGGAACTCCTTTTTCGTAAGAATATAACGTACTTGTTTGATCACAACAAATGAAGATATATCTGTAATACTAATTTAACATAAAAAAAATTTAATTCACTATTTTACCATCATAAAAAAATTGGAAAGATCACTTTATCCTTTCTTACTTAATATCTAAATAAATTATTATCATATTTTTGTGCATTTCAATCTTCAAATTACATCTCAAATCACTTTTAATTATCTATTTTCTATGTATAAATATAAATTTTTATGAAATTTTTCACTTGACTATAATAATCTTAAAAAATATGTGTATGATTATAAATTTTAATAAAATATTCAAAAAAACCTTTAAAAACTCCGTTAATTTAATATTACTTATCTCATTTATAAAGATAACATTATAACTATATATGTATATTTTATTTTTCGTCAAAATATTTAACCTTTTAATGTTTAAGATAAAAAATAATGTATTTATAGTTTTACATAATTCTTTAGTCACAATAATTTTTTTAAATTGTGTTAAGATTTTTTTGTGAAAATAGATTGTACTATATTTTTAAGGAAAACTTGAATTTTTTTTAAAATTTTAATATGCTTTATTATATTTTATAGTGTAATATATTAAATCTTATCTCAATTGACCTAACTAATTCTAAATACAGGAAGGTTCTAATATGATTAGTATATTGACAATTGTTTGTATTTTATTTAATGATTTATAAATATAATCCGAATCAAATTAATTTTAAAAAATTTAATTTTTAAACATAACTAAAATATCACTTTCAATTACAAAATTATAGAAACAAAATTAGAACTTTAATTATTTCTTTTATCTTATCCTTTTTCTTGAAATTATAACAACAAATCTCGAGAATATACAAAGTTTTTAAAAATTCTATAATAGAGTATAAGCAATACAAAAAAAAGTTTGATAAATTTGATATGCTATTTAATTTATGTACACATATACCAAATATTTATTTATTAATTTTTTTCTAAAAAATTATTTTCATGTAACGCACATGGTATATTGCTAGGACGAACGAAGGAGAAGATTACTACACCAAAAAAATAAATTTATTTGTATCATATCTCTAAATTTTATAATTTTAATGGGTGTTTTTATAAATTTTGTGTCACTTTACAAAAAAAAATTATAACATTTATGTATAATTTATAATTTTTATAGGTGTTTTTATAATTTTTGTCGTAATTTGCGATGATAACATTTTTGGATTGATAGTAAGCTTACACAAAAAGTGATAAAAAAAAATACTTACTTACAAAGTAACAAATAAAAATATGATACCGAATTTTTTTTTTTTCCGGCACGGCTCCTCGTTGAGGCAGATTACCTATGTCCTTATTGAAAAGTCCTGTTGGCGGTAGCTATACCATGGGTGTCAATAATCATGTAGTAGCACTACACGAACCCGACATAAAAATAGCATGTGCTAACTCTTAAATATGAAATTAAAAATGACGAGATTCGCTAATTCAGAGAATAGGCGGGTTGCATTAATATGAAACCAATAAATTAATTTTGACATATATAATAAACTATAAGTTAATTACTGGTAATATTGCATAAAGATGTTAATTTTTTTTTTTTTCATTTCTTGATCGTGCATTTTGTGAAGCCATGCATGTAGAGTGAAGGAGTTTTTACTGTTTCGCTTGAATAAAAGATGAAGTGAATTTCTATTTTATATGAGGAAGAATGAATGGTGGGTTGAGATCATAGTCGGGCCGAACTTTGTGAGTTTAAATCGAATTTGTTGAGCCAATTTTCCTAAACAAGTCTAAAAAACATTCAAACTTGGCTCGATTCGAAATCAAGCTCAAAATGAACCCAACCTAAAACGAGTTAAACCCGAGCGAGCCCAAATACCTCGACTATTTTACGTAAACGAATTGAGTTTTTGCGAGTGCCGAACCTACAATTGTTCAAGCTCTAGCTCTATACACTTAAAACCGTGTTGAATCCAAATAACTTAACTCGATTATCAATCCCTCATTGAAATAGTGTTAATGCATATGTTGGAATAATTAAATACGTCGAATTACGGTTGATTAGCACTCGACACATAATCAAAATGATAGAACCAGAACATAATATGACTTTGACATTGGAAAAAAAATTGATCTTCGCTTTGTATTTAAACACCCACCATCCCTCCCTCTCCACAAAAAAAAAAAAGTACGCCTCCTCGACGACTATAGGAAAGAAATTTGGGAATGCTCAACAAGTTTAGGAAACTTCTGCAATACCATCGATGATATCTGTACTAAAATTAAAATTTTTTTGAGTTAAATAACATTTTTTTTAAATATAAATTACAACTTCAAATAACATTATCCATCATGAAATATTGAGATCAAAACTGCGTATTTCATGATCGATCATTGGTATCTGGAATCAATCATAACCTCCCTTAAACAGTATAATTTCATCCTCCAAAGTTGTACCTTTACCCTACAAAATATAACCTATGATACTAAAATTTTCTTTTTTTTCTCCTTAAGTTTAACTTCAAGTCCGCCCAATCAGATTGAAGAAATATGTATTTGATTCAGTGGGGTCAGGGTAGAAGAATCATTTTTTTGGCATTTAGCTCTGTTTTTCAACCCCCTAGCTAGCAGCTATTGAGCTCTTTCACGAACCACCGGATCTTCTCAATTATATCCCATGAAGACTCTTGTTACCAGCCAGACATGGTCTTTTAGGCTTGCCACTCCCCCAGAACTCTTAACAGCTTTCATCGGAGCTAGACCACCGCAATCGGACAAAAAAGGTACAAACACAAACACGAGAGAGAGAGAGAGAGAGAGAGAGAGAGAGAGTTTCTTGAACCAACGGAACCACTTAACAACACCCAGTAGGCTGATGATGTATACAAAGCACATACTTCAATTGACAAGGCTGTCGTGGAACATAACCACATTCATTGATAGTAAAAGAATCGTTTTGCAACTTCAAAAGTGACTAAAGGCCACTCCCTTCCAAAACACCTTTAATAGAACTTATCAAGTTCAAATTATACTCTTAAAACAGAAACACCAACTCACAGATCAACTCAGCAATTTGGATAAGATAGTCCTGCAAACATATGTATGAAATATAATGGCAAAAGCATGACATGCACAGATGAAGAGTTTCAAAAGAAAAGCACAGTCATATGGGATTGAATTCAAATCTAAACGCGGTTCAATAAAAGCTGAGCCACCAACTAGGAGCAATGTTTCTCTTCCTGTTTGCTTAGTCTTACCATTCACTAACCCAACCTTCTACACTTAAATCTCATTTGATAGAAATCTAGCCAGACGAAAATGTTATTAAGCTGTGATTCTTGCCCTACCCTTGGCAATTCTTCGAGAAATAACTCTCCGACCACCCTTGGTTGCTTTGCTGCCCAAGTGATCAAAGCTAAGTTAATAAAAAGGTAAATCCAATCGTTGAGTATATATTTCTGGTGAGCAAACAACTTTTTTTATCAAAAAAAAAAAACAGATCTTTGTATGCTGATGCAGAAAGAGGGAAACCCATTAAAACAAACACCACCACTTTAAATACTAGATCCATAGGCCAGTGATGGACATCATTCTCCTCTGGTGTCCCAAAAAATTGGTCCCAATTGCCATGAGCAGAATAAAGATGCTACAGTCCAGACAACGAAATGAAAGGTTCCCAGCTCAAAAAAAAAACAAAAAAAGGTTTCCCCCACAAGCAAAAGCTGCATAAAGTCCTGCAGAGTATGGCTCTTATACGAACCTATATGAATAGGTAGCTATTTCTCAAGTTGCTTAAAACATTCACTGTTAGATGAAAAAAGTGTGTGTGTTGTGTTGTGGGGTGAAGTGAGGTGAGGGGAGGGGAGGGGGTGTTTTTCTTTGTGTGTGTGTGAAAGAGAGAGACAGAGACTTACCGAGCGAAGAATCCATGTTTCCTTTTACGCCTAATGGTGCTTGGTTGGTAAGTTCGCTTTGGAAATAAGAGCATTGGGTCACTTGATGAAGAGTCATCCACTGCAGAAAAGGTCATGCAATACTTTATACAAAGACCGAAAAGGGCCAAGAAACTGATGCATGACAATAACATATCTCAATCCGTGATATAATTTTTTTTAGAAGTTACGAAAGAACCATCATTCATTTTCAGCCAAGAATAAAATGCTATATGCAGACAAGTGAGAACCCATGCAGGACAAAAATCAGTCCCAAAGCCCATAAAATGGGTTACCAACATGATACAAAGACAATTTATTGACAGCTCATCTATTTTTCGTTTCACACGGACTTTGTGCAAATTCGAAGAATCCAACCAAGTCCAAGAGTTGCCAATGAAACCTTGCCCAAGCTTGCTAGAATTCCCCAATAGCAAAATTTCAGGCAACTATCATCATCTCTGTTGATTGACAACAGAACACATTGCAGAGTAGTCTCAACAATTCCCATGGAACAACCCAAATTTCCTATTGCCAATTAGTGCAACGTTAACCACATAAACTACATTTACAACACAATGCCGTACAATTCGCGATAATCACCTCATTTAAAACAGAACCAAAAAGTTGCTTAGAATTAAATGACTATAACATGTACCATATTAATTAAACTACTGCTGGGTTTCACACACACAACTCACCCTAAATAACATATCTACCACGATGATGGCCAGTAAATTAGAAATCAAACTGATTTACACTGCTTCTGGACTCGGGCCTTGGGAATGAACTCTGGGAGCTATTAGTTCACTTTTCGAACTAAATTTTTCTTCAATCCAAATTTGAAGACGTCAATTCTAGTCTCCAAACACGGCATTTTTACAATCCCCAAAAATTCCTTTCTTTTTTGATAACATAATCCAAGAACGTGTCAAGATGTTTAAGTCCAAACGAAAACTCAAATGCAATAAACTAACTTCATATCCAAAATAGGCATCGTTGTAATTATTCATGTAGACCTGCAGTTCTATATCATAGCTCAATTCGAAAGCAAACATTTCCATAATAAACGAATACTAGGGCTTACCATCTGGAAGGAAGAACTCGAGGGAAGGAAGGCCACAAGGGTACAAGAATCCTTCACAAGATACTCTCTTCAGTGTCTCGGCATCGTTCTGGGGCAAATGCAGTGAGGGCTGAAACTGGGAGAGAAATGGTGATTGCGATAAAAGCTTTGGAGTGATTTCGAAGCTCCGCGATACAAATTGATGCTTCGTGCTCGAATTCTGTTGAAGGATTGGATTGATTAACCGATTCATCAAAGAAACTCCTTGGCGAACTAGGGTTTTGGACGACATCTTTCTGCAGAATAGCAACCCTTGAGAGAGAGTGTGTGTGTGTTCTAATCCTCTGCAAGACTGCAACTCGCTCCTCCAATAATGGGGGCCCTTGTAATATATATTTTTTAATTTCTCTCGATAATATTATTATTTATGAAGTTCATTATTTATAAACAAATTTCACAAAATGGTTCACCGTAAAATAAATTTTTTTTTTAAAAAAGTATAATAGACCGTATATGAATCTAATATGAGTAATTTGTGTCTAAATGTACAATACAATTTGAATTATTTATTTTTATTTTTTATTAGTTCAAGGATCAAGAGATGTTTAGGCCAATTTATGTGCAATGTTATCAAAACCAGATCGGACCGGTAAATCGAACCCTTAATCGATTCAATTAACTCAAAAGACCACTTAAGTAAATGAACCGCTAAAAAACCAACTGGCCGATTTTAGTCAAAACTTTTGGTAAAATTTTGTCCTCAGATCAGACCTCCCTGTCTTCGTCTTTTTCGATGATTCTCCTCTCAATTGAACTCTTCCTCTCAGCGACTAGTGGACACACTATTGTCTTCCTTTGTAAGCCGTTTTCTTCTTCTTATTCTCTCTCTTCCCTTTCTACACGCTCAGATACACACTGATATGGAGTAATAGCGTAATACACACCGTTTTTAAGTTCTTCTCTCTCTCTCTCTCTCTACACACACCCAGTCATCGAGCCAATATACACACATAAATGCACAGTCAATAGTCAATACACCTAACAAGGGTTAGAAAGCAAGTAATTATCCAACACACGCCCCAATGGAATAAAATCTCCCAATTAGGAATTTTTAATACTACTTTATGAATTTTATTTTTATTGTGATTGTGGATTTTATGATTTGTATGAAAAATTATATGCATTGTGACCATATTTTATACTTTTTTGGCTAAATTATTATGTTTTATAATTTTTTTTATTATACCATCGGTTTGACCAGTTGAACCAATGAACTATTGACCTGGTCTCTCAGTCAGTTCAATGTCATGTCCGGTTCTGAATAACGTTGATTATGCGTACCTTGACTAAGTCTTTCGAACAACCCCTTACAATTAGGTCATGAAATATTTTTCACTCATAAATGTCTTAATTCCCGCATAGATGATTTAGAATTGATCTTTTACTAATATCAAAACTCCACCTCAATCCATTTATAATTTCTTCGTCTTTATTGTCCTCTTAGTTTTTCATTGTGACCGAGAGTGTTTAGTTTATAATTTTCTTTTCTTTTTCTTCTTTTTTTTCTCGATCTATTCAATAAAATTTAGAAATGCAAACACATTTTTTCTCACTTTTAAATATATCATGGGATTGTTTAACTTATGGCAGAAATTTTTTTAGCTGAAATGTTTTTCTGTCTGCTTATTTCAAATCATGAGCTTCAACAATGAGCCAGCCTTATCACAACTCGTCCGCCTTCTCTAGACTTGCTTCCTAATGCTTCTTATGGTTCATGGGTTTTTCCCTTTTTTTTTTTTTAACTACAAAATATTTAGGCTTGTGTCGACTATTCTCTCAAATTTTAAAATTGACCATCATTGCTCAAACTAGTTGAAAGATGTATCCCTTAAAAAAATGAGGGTGACTAACTCTTAGAAAAGATGAGAAATATCAAACTTAAAACTTCTAATTTGTAAAAGAGTAAGTTTATCCACTGCCCAACCTAAGAATTTTATGGGTTTTTTGAAATGTCGATCACGCTTGTTCAAAAGCAATGGTCGAGTACCAACTCTGATACCAATTCCTTCATGTCCTTTCTAAGGCTCGGCAAACGACTCGTGGCCCCTGGGTGGCATAGCTTAGAATCATGAGCTGTGTAGTCCCACTGCCAAACCCATTCACCCGACAAGAAGAAAAACAATTTTTTAAACTGGCCCAATGACTAGTCACTTAAAATCCAATTAGGGCTGGGCTCATGGAGCATAAATTTTCAACCCAAACCAACCAATCAACAACCCAGATGTCCAGCCCACCCTGAATCGTAGACTATAGCCAGCTTGGTTTATGCAAACTGGGCTTGTCCTATGCTATGGACATGGCCAATCCGTATAGACCAAGCCAGCTCAATGTTGAACAACACATCATACAAGTTCAGATCATACAGCTGCTGCTCCATCTTCACCAAGGTAAACCTATCCTTGCTGCTGCAAATATAGCCTATTTATGGCAGCTCAACCTGGCAATACCAAGCACCTAGCAGATGAATAATCCCACACATTATAACTCAGTTCACAACAAACAAGCCGAATTGCACCACACATAGGGGAAGGAAAAGTGAGCCAACTGAATCAAAACATGGTAACAGTTTGCTTTGAGGCAACTCTTATGAAGATACTTCTAGTAATGAGATTAATGCTATCCAATGAACAATCCCAGAATCCATTTATTTCAAAAACAGCCCAAGGGTGGCAACTTATCACCAATTCTTTCAACCCAAATAAGGGCGGTTTATTGTTGAGGATAAACCTCATCAAAATGTCAACACAATCTCTTATGAAAAGGCAGGTATTTGCTTTTGATTAAATCCTATTGATTTTTTTATAGGAAATAAAATCCTATTAATAAACTAACACCGATTTACATGAAAAGATGAAACCAAAAAGTGAACTCTGCAACTTGGCCCCAACTCTTTTCAACATTCAGATCGTACAATGATACGAACAATTATCTTCATGCAAACTTCACGGTGAATATAGAACACTATCCCACAAGCAACTCTTTCAAAGGTGCTCACAGAAAGGGAAATGAAAGTGAATGGTTCATACAAAACCATAGAAACAGTATCAGGCAAAGCACCGGAGCAAATAATTCCGACCTGGCCTTTCCAGTTACATAGTGAAGAACTACCACAAAAACAACCAAACTATGACACTGTTTGGTCAGTAAAGAAGACACAAGTGAAAGATTGGCCATTTAGAACATGCCAACCATATAAATTAATGTGGAAAGCAATTGCTTCACAACAACCAATGAAAGATCAAAGAACCAAAGAGTGAGAGAGGGGGACATTCAAAAACACCACTCAAGTATGTAGATGACTAAAAAGACACAAGTATGCATCCAAATGTACAGAAAATTACTGACGATGTCGGTCTGAGGAAAGCTTTATTGCTCCACCTGCTGCGTCGTAGATATCCAATCTGATGCAGCTGTTTGAGTGCCTATCTCTGTATGCTGAGAAAGAGATAGTGGAGTGATTGAAACCTGCTCCAAATTAGAGATAACAATCAGCAACCGACTAACAAGTATTTCTGACCTTTTCAAATGAAAATGATCTCTATTCCCTGCTAAAAGGTCTTTATTTCAAACGGGTACATATTTTTTTATAAAGCATTTTGAACAAGATTAATCTATTTTCTACCAATTAAAGAACTAGGGGAAGATTTCATGTACTTCAAAAACAATCTGCGTTAATAATGAGATCCAGGTAAATTGGACGAGAGCAGCCTCACTCCATGTCTAGTGGAGTAAAAACATGCTCAGGTAACCAACTGCAAGGCTCTGGATTCGAATGGCTATCACTTTGTGCATATAAGGCCAAACCAAGTGGTAAAATATTTCCCAATAAAACCATAAAAAAACAGATGCAAAACTTACATATCCATTCTCAAGCGCTCTGAAATCAAGATCCTCATCCACCTCTTCCTGGTCGCTGTCCAGAAACTGTAATATTTACAATGATTAATCAATTCATATCTCCAACAAAACAACTAGAAACCACTTATGGGGAAAATGGGCAACCAGTAGACAATAACAGCAACAACGGGCAAAACCACAACACACTTGACAAAGATAAGATGACTTAAAGAATCACATCTCCTGAAAAATATGCTTCACTAAATCCATAACAACTTGGCATTCTGCATTTATTTATATTGCACTACTTAACAAATAGTCAACGTTTAACTCGAGCACTTTCACTATTTTCCCGGAAATCCAAGTGCCATGGCTTTCGGATATCCAATTCGAATTTCCAACCAACTTAATTTCTTAACGTATTTTACTCTTGTTAAACAAATATCTACTCTAAAAACTGAAATTGTTGGAGAGGGTGTAACTTATGTATTTATACTTCAAGACGCCCCTCACGTGCAGACTAAATAGATTTTTTGTCGTAGCACGTGAAAATCTTTTTACTAATTAGGGTGGCGGCAAGATTCAAACACAGGAATTCCTACTCTGATACCATGATAAACAACTATCTACTCCAAACAGCTTGGAGATGTTATAACTTAAGTATTTATAATTTAACAATTTTGATTAAACTAAGCTCCATCTTTTCATATATGCTATGATAAAGGCTTATAGAAATCACTTGCATGGCATTTATAAGCAATTCTCAAATTAATTCCAAATGAAACCCTAGTTGTAAACCTATACTTACCTCCATTCGAAAGTATCGCGTTGTCCGATTGAAATCTGATTTTCCCACAACCCCAACTGATTCAACAATCTCCAAATTCTTTCTCTGTGACGTCAAACGACGAGCAGCACCCTGAGAAGAACAAGATAAAACTTAATGAATAACAGTCAATATTAACTACAATACCAATAATAAAAAGATCAGTTTGAAAATTTTGCAAAACCACTCACTGCAGCAGAGGCATCTCGGCTTAGCTGTGCAAGTTGCATGCCAAGGCTTTGCTGATTGGACATGAAACGTCCAGAAGACAGATGCCTGTTGCTTGAGATAGCTTGCCAGCTTGGCATGGATCTCCAGAGACTTTGCTTTGTTATCTTGAATCCCTGTCAATCAAAATAAGCATTTTCGTTAGAATTTTTGACTGATTTCTCAAAATCCGAGTGACTTTTATTGATTATCAATACTGAAAAGAAAGAGGAATCTGTGGTTTATTGGCTTGCAGCCTTGACTTTTCAGGTGGATTCTGAGCTAAATGTTGAAGTCAATTCCTTTAAAGTCTCTATCATAGGCAAGGACAACTTGGTTACTTACCACAAAGTGGAAATAACTGTTGCTAAAGATGATCACATCAGAAACTGAAACAAATTCTTCACAAATCAAAAACTGAAATTAGCAAAAACTTTGTATGCACACTGTGAAGTTTTTCTTAAGCATTTTCACATATTGATTCGCACTTTTTAGTGATCGGATTAATATTATACACCCAAGTATAAGTGGTCAAATTATAGTTTTCTCGGTTTTAAATCCAAGTATCGATCCCACGAAGAGTTTTAACAATTTGGAAATGAAATAAAATAATAAAGTTGCTAATTCGAATAAGACAGCATGTGATAGCTTGCTCCTTGTATTCTCCGGGGTATTTCAGCATTTAACCTGCAACTTGTAAACATAACACACATAAAACCCTAATTACCGCACAAACCCTAATTGACTCTAATTAATAGTTTTTAGTTATTTTATCACACCAATTTGGCTCATTAACTATTCTAATTTATATACTAATTAGGGTTAATCATATATCACCTGATTTTCAGAAAAAAAAACAACCAACATTCCCAATAAAATATCTTATGAAACAAACCTTGTTTGTCAAAGGAGATGTCGGAACCTCTATATCCAGTAAGCAACTTCTGGGGAAAACCCCCTTCTCTATATCTCTAATGGCTGTGTTTATTAATGGTAAACATATGGTCACAGCATCCTTGAAATCGCTTTCACTACTTTCATCCTTCTTCCTGAAATAATCATCATACCAACACATTAGATATATAAACAGTGATTACTTTTACGCTAACAAAGAACTATAAAGAACCACTAACATACCAGTTCAACGATATCGAGATAGATGACACACCGCTAATCAATGCCTCTCTGGCACCAGCAATAACACCCGAGTGGAACCTGGAGGATAAACATGTGATTGTCAGTAAGTTCTTGACAACGGCTACACCTACATATAAAACAGAACCATCAAACCTGTGGGGATAAATTAACAAACGTAACCATATTAGATGATAGAAAGGCAAACTTCACAAGCATATTTGTGAATTGAAATGCAAGCCCAGCAGAAAATTTTATCAAAGTGAAACACAAAGGTCTACATAATCAGTATGTCATAATGCCACAAACAAACAACTTACATGTGATTGCCACAACTCGAACCCCTGTTGATTCCACTAATTACCTAAACATCAGGAAAAAAAATCATACCCTGGGGTATGAGGAATATAGCATGCATAAGCAATCTCATTAATCGAAGCATATAAAAGCATACCAGCAGAGGCTTTGACCAAGAAAACAGTGCACTGGATAACGCTAATGACACACAATCTACAGGAGTCCCTGAAAACAAATAAATGGTGTTAAACCGGTGCATGAAGTTCGAAACTTGCATCAGAATTAAGGGACTGATAAAGCAGAAGCAAAAGACCATCCCAAATATAAAATCACTGCAGAGCCAATTAATAGACATGGCCCGATGTTCATCCTATACACTATGGTAACAGCATTCAAAATACACACAACAAGACAAATGCAGCCATATGGTCCCTACCAGAAACTTCATAAGCAATGGCACCATTAATTTCGACAGAAGTCACTGCAACTGTTTCTCGGAGTGTCACCGAATGACCTGACACCGACTTGTCCCTATACCAATCCACCAATTAATCAACAAACCATAGATTTCATCCCACAATTAGAAAATTTAAGGAAAAAACACAAACCCCTAAAACTATTAGAGTAACAAATCAATAACAATCAATAAACAATGGACAGAAAACGATAACCAAAACAGATTGAAAACCAACAACATATATCAAAGGACCCCATATTGCCAGATTACTAAATAAGCAGGAAAAAAAAAACTATGTATGATACTTCATATACAACTATGTACACAGCAAACTGGAAAATGCAAATTTAAAGATGACCCACGATTGAGGAGCGCAGACATGGACGTTGTAAAGGCTTTCCCGAACCAGAGCTTCAACAAGACAAGTTAGACCTGGTGACTCGATCCCTTCACCATTTGTGACCAAAATTATAGGCTTTGAACTATTATTATCCGAATTGGGCTCAACATTATCCGAACTTGAATTAGACGAAGTGGGGTCATTGGATTCATCATTCTTGGGTTGTTCCTCTTCGCCGCCTTTCCTTTTGAGAAGGACTTCCTGAAGATTTGACACCAACCCAGGTGGCAAAAAATTGTTCTTCACAGCAGGAGTCGTCATTTTGTGACAGAGAAAGCGAAAGATGCAAGAGAGAAAAAGGGTATTGATGTGTTGGCGATGAAGATGAGAGAGATAACAGGAAGTCAGGAATAGGATAGGTTTGGGGTTGAAGAATCAATTCAAAACCCTAGAGAGAGAAAGAGCGAAAAAAAGAGTGAGGAAAAGGAGGGTAACAAAACGCTGAAAAATGGATAGACCGATTCCAACGGCGTTCTTTGTAGAGAACCAAAGAAGTGCTGTGTAGAGAGAGATAGTTATCTCAGTGCGTTGTTTATATAACGAGAGAGAGAGAGAGAGACTTTTGTTTCTTCAATGGGACACCATGGCATGGAAGCTATTGAAGGAACAGTTAATAAACCATGAGGCCTAGTAGATAAAGTGAATGACGCGCTTGGTCAAGCGCGTGTTTCAACTACCAGTTAGATTGTATTCTTTTGACACGTGTTGTAATGATTGAACGTTGACTAGGTTCGTGGTTAGAAATTGCTATGGAGGAGCGTGGATCGGTGTTGGGAAGTTATTTTAATCTTTTTACTATGAGATGATGTCAGAGCTTTACACGTGGCAAGCTTCAATTTATTTAATTTAATGGGGGTCCATTTAGGATGATGAATGGGTAAAATAATTTGGGTATTTCTACATGACATATGGATCATGGTGCTTAAAGTTGGATTAATTATGATTATTATTTTCATGGGAAACAACCGAGCCTAATTTGACTTGGCATTTTTATTGTACGTAAATAGGATTAAAAACACCCACAACTAGATTCCTTCATATTTTTCTAAATTTTTTTCTTCAATAATATGTCATCGGACAACATGGTAACCACTATGCATCAAACCATAATTGACTATGGTTGATTACAATTGTCGCGCTGGTTGTAGGTGGCTTTCAAAAATGCACTCTAGCTCTCATGTCATCATGGTGTGGGTTTGAATACTTCGTAGATGAAAAAAAAAAATTTGAACCATTGAAAGTAATGAAACAATAGAATCTTAGAAATCGAGAGTATTGATGCAACTAAAATTAGTCAACAAGACAAATAACAATCAGTCATATGAAAATAGAGTAAAACATGTTGCCGGAGATGATATTAGTGTGAAAATTACCATATAACTATTTGACAGAATCTCTCTACTATGCATTCTGCCCATTATTTCGAAAGGTATTCAAGTTTGATATATGCTTGCTCTAACCGAGATCAATTGCTTGTCAAAGAGAGACTTTTGACCATCATCGATCAGGTGAGAAAGTCATTACATACATAAATTTATTTAGGAATGAATATGAAGGAGTAGCTTGATAATGGTTGAGAGTCATACACTAGTTACATGCCATCCACGAAACTCTGACAACTAATCTTATTTCATGTTAAGATCTCATTCTTCTTGTTCTAATAAATTTGATTAGTGATTCTTTATCCACCCACTTCTTTCTTTTACTCCCAACTTTAGGACTCCCCACAACTTAATGAGACGGTTGATAGACGTTAAACTCCAAGGGGAGACATGCTGCTCTGCTTTTATATGGCATAACAGCTAAGACACTTTATAGTTCAGTCAAAAAGGTAGGCTGCATGGGACTAACGCTGTTTCAGAATCTTCAATCATGGAAGATGGAAGAAGATGCCTTACATCTCGTGTGATTTGCTCTTTCACTTTCCTGATGTAGAGAAGAAAACCTTGAAAATTGACAAGCAGCAATGTATGTAGATTTTCCAAATCGCCATGAACTTTCCCAGGAAGCGGGCTATTATCCACGGGCTGGCAAAAAAGTCCGGCATTCATCGAATCATGGGTCAATTCTTAATTGGGCCATTGTGCAGCTGGCCATTAATCTGCACCATGATCCTTGTTTGGCCTCTCAAACCAATGGGTGACCCAGCGTGTTAAACAATCAATCCCCAGCACAGTAGCATGTCTCGAAAAAGCTTAACCCAAAACACTCGATAAATGGCTTACCAAGATTGCCAAGCACCTCAGTTTGATCCGGAAACTATTACCTAAGTTCCTAAACTTGGAATGGATGGCAGAGAATAGGTGGTAAGCCGAAGGGCAACCAATTTCCATCAGCCACCACAGAACCAGAAGTTACGAGTATCACCATCAATAACAAGCGACACTGAAATTACAAAAAGATGCAGAAGCTGCAACTATTAGGATTAAATTTCATACCAGGAGAAAGAAGAAAGCCAGAGTGATTGATATCTTAAGTATATATAGAAATGAATAATATAATCCTGGCCTTATTAAGAAAATTGTAGCCCTTCAGCATACAATGAGGCAAAGTCCCCAACATCCGAACAGCTACCTACCTGTGATGTTTCTCTCTGAAAATATTTCTCCACCCAGCTTGCTAAAGTATTAAGATATGGTACAATGTGATCAATGCACAACAGCACCGATTAACTCCCCACTCATAAAGCCACTGTAGGATCAGAACACGCAACTGCGTGTTAAAAACAATAACCCTAAACTTCCAAGAAGAAAAATTTGCAGTTACCCAATGGGCATCCCCTGATAGTATTCCAATTTTCACACCTCACTGTCATCGCCAAACATCATTTACGATAGGGATGATGCCTTCCGGTTGCAGCACCTCCATTTCCGTATCCTCCTTTACCACCAGTATATCCACCGCGGCCGCTGCCACCACCATATCCACCACTACTACCATACCCAGCACCAGCACCACCGCCGCCACCACCATATCCACCACTACCACCATACCCAGCACCACCACCACCATATCCTCTACCTCCTCCATAGCCAACAGCACCACCATAGTTACCAGAAGTACCATAATTGCCACCTGCGTATCCAGCACCACTGTACATGGGCCCACCAAAGCCGAATCCATATCCATATCCACCATAGCCAGCATAAAATCCTGCAGAACTTCCACCATAGTTTCCACCATAATTGCCATAACCACCATAGCCATCATATCCATCAGAACCACCATATCCCCTATGTGCCCTTCCACTGTATCCACCTCCATAACCTGTGGCACCAGTGCCAAAGCCACTGTATGATTTTGAACCACTACCGCCATACCGCTGCCAGCTATCATTTGCATGATCACTGCCGGCTCTTTTCGGCTCAGCTTTCTTGATTTCAACCTGAAAAATTATATATAAAGTGCTCAGGTGATTTCATTTTCCTAGTGCAAGCAACGCTAAACCATATCACACTTTAAAACTCACTTGTTTGCCTCCAAGTTCATGCATTTGACCATTAGAAATTATTTTTTCAACTGCATCTTCATTATCAAAGGTGACAAACCCAAAGCCTCTCGGACGTCCAGTTTTGTGATCAACCATAATCTGGTGCTCCACAACGTTACCATAAGAAGAAAAATATTCCTTCAACTCATCTGCCATACAATACTATGTAGTCAAAAATACAGATCTTGCTTCATCAAAATATTACAAAAGATAATATTACCTTCAGAAAAAGATAATGGTATGCCACCAACAAAAATTTTCTTCGTTTTTGTTACTCCTTTAACACGAGTTTCCTCCCTGGGGACTGTCCTCTTCACTTCCACCTGTGATTCAAAGGTATATTAGAATAGACTTCATCCTAGTATAGGATTTTCATTGCTCATCGAGGATGCAAGAATAAGGTAAACAGGAGAATCTGAATCTTATGAAACAATTCATATTCAAAAAGAAGCCCCACCGCTCTGCCATCTATAACATGGTCCTCCTCCAGAACCTTATCAGCAACTGCTGTATCTGCAAATGTAACAAATCCAAATCCTCGTGGTCTTCCAGAAAGCTTATCCATCATTATTACAGAATCTATGATTTCTCCATACTTGCCGAAGTAACTGTTGAATGTCTCTGGAACCAAGTCATCAAATTCTGAATGAGGACAAAGAAGGAAAAAAAAACACATATACATCCACAATGGCAGGAAAAAATGCCATTATGATTCCTGAGGAGAATGTAGAATTATCTTTCAGATACCAACTTCTAAATATCCCTTTCCATCTAATATTAATGATATATATTGAGGCAGGCAAGCAGGCAGCCATGTTAACAACTAAATTATGTACAGTATTCATGGTTATTTATTTGGGTTACTCATGGCAGCTGATAAGAGTTTGCTACATGCACAATATCCATGGTGGGACTTCATGAAAAAAAACAATACTTTCATTGATTAAATAAGAGCGTACAAACCACTTCATCCCTCTCTCACATCTAGAGAAAAGAAATTTGCCTTCAAACGCCAAGGAAAATAATATGGAAAATGAATAATCCTATGAACAATTTTCTCGCCATAAAGGTGGAGTAAAATCTCTTGGAAAAGCACAAAAATGTGGGGAAACAACCCATTTTCACGTGTCAATCTCATAACTACTCGCTTAAATTGTATAATTCTAACAGCAACATGCACATGCCATCACCATCACCAATGTTACCACCACCTCTACTAAGCCACCACTACCATCATCATCCCACCATCGTTACCATCATCATCCCACCATCGTTACCATCACCACCCCGAGAGGTGGTTGGAGTGAGAGTAGTGACAATATTAATGATAAGGGTAGATGGTAGTGGCGTTAATGATGGTGGTGGTGGTGGTGATAGACAGGAAAACGTGACGGTGGTGGAATGTTTATTGCCACTACGGTGATGGTGTGGTGACAAAGAGTAGCGAAGGTGAATATGATGCTGGAAGTGGGCAGGTAGGGTAATGGAAATAGTTATTGTAGTGTGGTTGTTGGGTGATATTGGTGATGAACTATGGGGCTTGGTGTGCTGATTGTGACAGTGGTGACAACGATGGAGGTGGCAGAGGTGGCAATGCTAGAGATGGTAGGATGACAGCAGTGGTTTGGCTGCAATTGTGGTGCGGTGGTGGTGGCTGAGATAATGGAGGTGGTGGTTATTAGGGACCATGGTGATAGCAGGTAGTGGTAAGGGCAACAATAAAGTGTGAGGGATTGGGTGTTTGATCTCAATTGGTTTGGACTTATTTATTGAGTGACCTGATAATTGGTAATACAAGCTCATATTTAGTAATGATTGATTATATAATTGTGGGGCTAGGCATTACATGGTAAATGATAATGGATTTTTATTAAAACAGTGTAAATATTGAAATATGCATTACTTCAAATTCCATTTGCAGACTCCATGACAACATACTATAACATATTTATTGAGACAGAGTTCGGCAATAAAACAACAAAATCAGACTGCAACGAATGAGGGGCAAACATGGTCAAAGCATTCTATAATAGATGTGTTAGTAACATACGTGACAGACATAACTATACCGAGTTGTGTTTAGTAGGTTAAGTACACAAAACTTGAAAGGTTTTCACAATCTCTCTACCTATCCTATTTAGGACTCAAATCTTTACAACTACTTATAAGTAATGTCGCCAATAGCATTAGGTTGTTGCACCAATATCCATTTAAATATCTCATTGTAACTTGAGCAATCATAGAATCTTCTACTTTAGGTCTATCGATTTTTTTAAAAGAACTTCAAGCCTATCGATGCTCGCAGCCAATAAGCTATCTTCATATGTTGCATCTTTCCACTTCAACACACAACATGTTGAAATGGCAATCTAAAAGGTCTAGGAGTTGAAAAAATACAATAGCTCGACTCAACGGAGACTTCTTCGATATATTTAAGATTGACTACATCAATATTATTTCTTCACTGCACTCTATTGTCATTGTGCTCCATCAAAGTACATAATTTAGGCTCTCATATCATTTTCAACTACGTCAATCAGAATTAATTTCAATTTTCGTCTATCCTCCATTACCATCAATAGATATCACAACACCTTTTCTTTATTGGTTCAATAACAGGTCTATTATAACCAACGTTGATTTTCTTTTGATTTGTTTCCTATTGGGTACATCGATCCCAAACGGGATGGGTTCGTGATCTAGATCACCAAAACGGACTACCCCATATTGTAATACTAACTCTAAATTAATTCGCTTTAGAATATGCAGCACAAATATAAAATATATATTAATTAACTACAATGTATATAGATTTATAATTATATATTGTTTTAGATAATAGAAAATCAAACACAAATACAAGATAAATAGTAACTAACTTAGTGTTTATGGAGATTCTGTAATATATAATATTATATAGTAGTGAAAATGATCTACATAAAAGTTCTAAAACGAATTGCGACCCAAAATACTGTACCAGTTAAGCCTACCTCTATCGTACCGCATACCTAAGAAAGTGTCTTACCATATACCCTTACTCATACCACGTACCAAAGCGACCCACGATTCAAGTAACATTGATTTATGACTTCTCACAAATGGACTAATTTTGAATTTATATTCTTTTATGGTTTTCCTAGACATCTATCTTTAACATTCGCATTTCCATCACACTTAATTTTTCAAGCATTTTGTTAATTACCAACATCCGATTCATAAAGCATGACTTGTTCTATGATTGTCTTGTAGAACTTGCCTTTCAGGAATTGTACATGGATTACACAATTCACTTAGTCTATCCTTCTTTTTTTTATTTTTTTATTTTGATAAACCCCCCCCCAA